AATTTAAATAAATAGGCGATATAGTGGGTGCTTGGGCTCAAGGTAATCGAGCACCGGATGAATTTATTATTGTTGGATTTGAACGAGCTGTTTATCCAGAACAAATTGATATATATGAAACATATAATCCTGGTGCTGTTATTCGAGTATCTGCACGTAATGGTATGTAGAAAATTCTTTGAAATCGGTAGTATCCGATTGAATATATATCTCTTGCCGAAGTTACACTCTTTGCCAAAGTTGTAACTTTGGCAAAAATTTTGTCGAAGTTGTTAACAACTTCGACAAAATTTTTGCCGAAGTTACAACTTCGGCAAAGAGTGTAACTTCGGTACGACATATATATATATATTATAAAAATAGGAAGAGATAATACTGATTGGGAAACTGTTTGGGAAACAGAAGCACCACATGTTGAAGCTCAATGTATGTAATAAAAAATTTAAAAATAATATATCTTTTAAAAATCTAAAGTTTATTAATTTTAGCTCGTATTTTTTCTCTTCCATGTAGAAATCTATCATGTGGAGAAATAAATCAAATTCGTCTTGATGTTAATTGTAGTGCAGTTGGAAATTGGTGTGAAATTGATTGTATTAAATTAATTGGATATATATCTCACAATGATATTTCATATAAAGAATTAGCAACAAATTTAAAACAATTACTTCTTGATGATAGTTTAGCTGATGTTACTTTTCAACTTGATAATGGACAAACAATTTCATCTCATCGTAATATTCTTAGTAATCGATGTATTTATTTTGCTGAATTATTTGACGAATATCCATCGAATATTCAAGAACCAATAAAAATAAAAAATACATCATACGACGCATTTTATCAAATACTATATTTTATTTATACGGATACACTTGAACCTGTAGTAAATTATGAAACATGTCTTGAATTAATGCGTAAAGCAGATGAATATTATTTAAGTCCAATGTATAAAGAAGCATTCAATATTTTAAAGAAAACTATTAATAAAACAAATGTATTAAAATTATATACTCAATCGGGTCTTTTTTCAACATCATCAAATGATAATCAACAAGATGATATAATTCTGACTGATGTTGTTGATTTATGTGTAGAATTTATTCGAAAAAATCGTCAAGATGTTTATTCTAGTGACCAGATGCAACAATTAACAAAAGATATGTTATTACGACTTATTCAACTTGTTCAGTGATGTAAAGATGTTTTTATTTAAATTTAAATACATTTATTTAAAAAAAACATATAGATCTACTCTGATAATAAGGAGTATCTCATAATAACTAAGGATAAATTGTTAACGATATTTTTCATACTTTTTTCTTGAAATAGAAGGTTGAAATTTTTCACACATACATATCTAACAAAGGTCTTTAATTTTTTCGAAGTTTCAGATCTCTAGCTAAAACTAAAGCTGCAATGTATGGATAAGATTAACATACATGAATTGTCATACTAGATATTCGTTATATTTTTACAAGGTAGTCAATCGCGATAGATCGGTGAAAGATTGTTTATGAAAATAGAAAAGATTGTAAATGGTTTGTATTGAATTTAAATCATCTCAAAACAACATAGAGTATCGATCGCATGGTTCGTAATTATTTGATGAACGTATAGAATCAATAGATAGCGATGTTGAATTGGCTGATCTATGAAGAACTGAGAATGTGTGGGATCTTCTGAACGGAAAAGTTGTTTGATATCTCATTAACAATTAGAAAAAGAAAATGCACAAGAATAGAGGAAATTGTCGAACAAAAAATAATAGACAAAATATGTTATCAATTACAATTGGTCATAAAAAGCAATGGAGAATATGTTCATACACATTGAGTTGTATTGTAATTGACGTTTTTGAATAAATTTTTCTTGCACAATTTCTTTTCATCAGATGTTTATAAATACCACTGGTAAAGAAATAAAGATTTCACAAAAATCAAGTACAAAAATTCATCTATTTTAATATTGATCATGCAACATTTCGATACTTGATTTAGTTAGAGAGCTGAAACTTTGGAAAATTAAAGGTCTTTGGTTAAATATATATGTGATAAAAATTTCAGCCTTCTACGTTAAGAAAAAGTATGGAAAAATGTCATTGATAATTAATTCTCAGTTATTAAGGGACACTCTTTTTTTGGGTTTTTTTCTTTATCTGATAATAGCTCTAGCGAATACTTTTTGGCTTATTCATATAATCGATTTTTTTCGCATCCATTGTATCAACATTAGAAACCTTTCAGTAAATATGAAACAGATTGTTTTTCAATGCTTGAATGGAAAAAAAACATTTTTTATCATCAACATCTTGAAAATAGATAATAAGACGCGCCAAAGTATTTCAAATATTGGAAATATTTTTTTGTTTACGTATAAGATATTAATTTATAACGCTCGATTTGAAATTTTACTTTTTCGTTTTTTCTTCTGTACATCTATTATATGTCGCAAGCTTGCAGTCGCAAATTAGCAACTGCCGTAGCTTCGCGAATTTACACAAAACGACGACGAGAATTAAGGAAAACTATTTCGAATCATACTATCATTGTTACTACATCATTTTTATCTAAAAAATATGGTCTTTTACCATGTTTTTGTGAACATGATCCAATACGAATGATGAAAGGACCTCAAGCATTAGTATTATCTAAATCATCAAATGCATTTTGGCATCGAAAAAGTAAATCAAAAGGTAAATTAGTTGGTGAAAAACAACAACGAAATAATTCAACTGCATTTGAAAATCAACAAACAAGTTCTTCACATTCTCGTAATTTTCAAACATTTCGAAAGTCTATTATTCAACGATTTAGACGCAACAATAAACAAAAAATGTCGACAATTACAGCTCGATCTGTCATACATAAACATACAAAGACCAATCCTATCAAACGTAAAAATAATGCAGATCATTCTTTTGTTGATCCTTCGAATTCTATGGAAACGAATTTTAATCAACCTTTATCAATTCGAGATGATAGTCAACATTCTTCGTATGATTCTTATCGACTTATTTTACAGGATAATTCTAATGACACTAATAATGAAGAAGATAAAAATGATGTATTAGAACCACTCCTATCATCATTAAAAACCGAACAACAGAATATCAATGCAACGAACAAAATAAGTCAAACTGTTCAAGAAGCATCTAAAACAATTATGAATGATCTTAACTCATCAAGAAAAACAAAACAAACTGCTAGTAAGACATATTGCATCAAATAAACATAGTTTCTATCGAAATTTTAATTATATTACGAGGAAACATATTCAACTATCGGACACCATTCGACTTCACATTATAGCTACGAATAGGTCTCGGTGAGACTAAGAAAAGTTCCAAATAGTGCGGGCTCATGGCCTATTATTGAAGAGTTATGATCGTTTGTATGGAATTATTAATAAGAACAAGTCATTTTCGAAAAATCTAAAACAGAGTTTGGAGTCGAAATTATATCTACAGGTATATTTGGTAGTCATTAAATAATTCTGAAAGTTTCAGCAAAAACGAACATGTCGTTCTCAAGAGAGATAATCAATTTCCTGGTAGACCATATCATTGTGTTCTCTCCTACGGTAAACAGCTGTTTTTATATGGAAATTGAATACCTTGAGAAAGACATGTTCATTTTCGTTGAAACCTTTTTAAAACTATTTAATGACTATCAAACGCATCTATAAACATAGTTTCAGCTTGAAACTGTTTGTTTCGTTTTTTTTGAAAATGACTTGTCCTCAATAAAAATTTCATACACACAGTCATAATTCTTCAATAGTTGGCCATGAGCCGGAATCCTTTTGTACTTTTCCTACTGTCATCGAGACCTACTCAGTAGTCTTAATTCGAAGTCGAACAGCATTGGACAGTTACATATGATCTCTTGTTAGTTTTTATATTTATCAAGTATTCAAATTATTTTTTAAATTCAGAAGTTAACTTTTTTTACTTATTATTTTCCTATTGTAGTTATTTCTAAAAAAAAACATTCTAATAACACACGAAATATATCGACTCGTACAACTGGTAGTTCATTAAAAAGAAAAAAATCAACTAAACGAAAGCGTATGCAAAAACGAAAAATGTTATCAAAAACATCTTTATCAAATAAAAACCTTATCTCAACATCAAAACATAAGAACTCTACAACTTCTTTATCAGTTACTGGGTCGACAACAAATGTCAAACGGATAACTTATCGACGTAGTCCTTTTTCCAATCCAAATGTATTTCATTCTATGCCACGAATGCAAAATTCGTAATTATAAATCGATTCCTACAAATTCTTTTCATTATATATATATATATATATTCGCACTATAGGGATGAAATAACTAAAGATAATGTATATGAAAATCATCTATGTTGTAAACCAATTACATCTGTTAAAGATTTATCAATAGATGATCAAAAAAAATTAATTGAACATGATTATTTAACATTAATTTCTCTATTACCAGTTTATCTGGATTCACAAGGCAATTTTCAGCATAAAATTCGTGAAAAAACTAATATAAGTCATGATGGTGCTATAGAACTCGATCGTTTAATGAATGAATGGAGTTCAGCACGATTGTTTATTGGTACTAATAGTCATTACAAAACATTATCACAAGCTATATGAGAAAAATAAACTTCGGTTCAATTTTCTCTATCACTATTTGACAACAAAAAAAAGAATGTACCAAGCATCGAAAGAAAAAAAAACGAGCGAACATGATTTTTTGTTTCATTTTTACTGGAGTAACATAAAAAAAAAAGAATACCTAATAATTATCTTTTGGTTTTCGATTTTAAATGAGTACTTTTTTCAAAAAGTATACGTTTAAACATGGAATATGTTTTTGTTATTTGATGACTAGTAGATGCATCAATAAGATTGAATGATTTTGAAACAGTTCCATCAATATGTTTATATATTGAATAGATTATATTTTTTATAGTATCTGGTAATCTAATCAATTGAATAATAATATAATCAATCAATGTTAATATCCAAACAATAGGTCTCTGTTGTGATGTTGAAGATTGTAATGATGAGTCTGACAAAAGATCACTTGTTGTTGTTGGCTTATTTGAACATCGTACGCCATAGACTCGTAACATTAAACGATAGAGATATTTAATAAAAATGAATGGTAATATTAAGAGACGACCAAAAAAACATACAGCATGCCAAAAAGTAAACAAGAAGAAAGTAATTGGATTGTCTGAACGAAGAAAATCACTTAAATTGAGTTGTTTACGTTCACGAATTGAAGCATAATCAACAAGAATAGGTGTTTCGGATGGAAGAATCTGTGTTGATTGTTCACGAAGTGGTAGACCATGGAACGAAACACCACGTCGACGTAATGGTGGTTGTTCTTCTCGATTTGGTTTAGATGTAGATAAATTTGATCTTTCATTCATATTAGTAATTCAATACAACTTCGATAATAAATATACACATCTATATAAATGCTTATTCTCTCATATGAGTTGCAGAAGGAAGCGAAAATAATAAAGATAGTTTACAGTATACTGATTGGTTTGTAAATGCAACATATCAAATTAATGCAATGTGACAGACAACAAAGAGGTCGCATCAATTTAGAAGTTAATGTGAACAAAATGAAATTTGACACTATTAATAATATTTTTATGATTAATCAAATTATTTGTAAATGATTTAGATTGCCTGACATAAGTGATTCTATCATACTTGCTATAAAATCTATTCACAATGTCACATGCAAAATATTTTGATCACATGAATTCTTTTGATTACAATCATTAATTTTCAAATGCTAGTAAAGGATGTTGCATTACAAGACGAAAAAAGGCTGAGACTGGAAGCAGATACGATGAAATGATAGAAAATTAAAGTTTCTTATTTTCGATTATAGTTCTACTCACATTCATTTAAAATAATTGCTATCTTATAAGCTCCCAAAGTTCTATCTTATTTTTCAAAATTAATAGAGATGTTTGTAAAATCCGTCTTTTCTATGTACTGCAAGTTGCTAAATTTTCACTATTTCGAAGAAATGTATTGACTTCTCTAACTCTCCTATTCTCTTCTTTTTGTCAAAACTGAGCGTCTCATTTATGATTCCAGATTTAGATAAAAAGAAAAGATTATTTAAAATCTTTTGAAATGAACTCTTTATTGACTAAATTCGCACACTGGTTAATTTCCACTAGATTCATCTGGAGACAAAAATTATTTCCAAAGGTCCCTTGCTTTTGTTTTCTGTTTAAATTACGTTCCATGATTGTTAAATAACTAATAAAAATATTATTTAAATATATAATTTTCATTGTATTGTTAAATCTTGACACAATGAATGACGTTGTATTAAACATTATTATCAATATTAAATTGATTGCAATGTGTATGAAAGTTTAGATTGACTCTTAGAATATTTATTTCGCATAAAAATAAAATGATATCATGGCTATTGTATTTATCAAGTGAATCTTAGATAAAGTATTATTTTTTAATAAAGATTAAGTTATAGATGTACTCAACTCTTTGTTTATATATGATCAATAGTTAAATGCTTGTGTTGTCATGTGTATATAAAAAGAAAACAGAAGTGGAATGAAAGAATACTGTTGTGATTTGATTAAATCTTACTATTTCAATTAAAATATAATTAGTTATCCTTTGTCCTATCATGTGAAAGATAAATATATATATATATATATGTTTCTTAATAGTTCATCAATTTTCATTCAACCAATCGATGATTGAGATGAATTTTTACAAAGTAATAAACATAGATGAAAGTTTGGAGTCAAATAAACAACATACAGTAGTTGACAGATATCATAAATTAATTGAGTGAATTTATTAGTTATACGATCAGTATCTTGATGATTTTTATCCGATTTCAAGTTTAAATCGTATAAGTTCTTTTCTGCATTATAATAGAATTATTTTATGTTATTATCTTTTTCAGATATGTATATTCTGCTTTATTTTTTATCTTATTAATCTCTTATTTGTAAGTGATAAGATATTGTCAGTGTGGAGAGACCAGAGATTGAATGAAACTATCAAATTGAATTCGAATTAGAGTCTTGAGAAACTAAGTCGAATCGAATATGGTCTCTTCTACTCGATTCAATAGACTTGTATTAACTTCAGAAAAAAATATTGTTTATAAAGTAACAGTAGAATATTGAAATATCTCTTAAGAGAGTACATTTTAAGATAAATGAAAATAACTTTTCCACTAGATACAAAATTTTCTTTAAGTTTCAAGACAAACTTTCATTATATTTCCTATTATATCATTTCTTCAATTTCATTTACTCATTCTTGATTATGGTTTTAATACCGTTCTCTCTTTTTTTCGTAAATTGCACAGTTAGTGTGGATTCAGATAGCTAAAAGTTCATTCTATTTAAATACAAATTAAATCAATACTTTTCAAGCTTCAACAATTTGTATTTCATTGGAATAACTTTTTTTATTATATCAAGGATCATTTGAAGCGTTCGTCTAACTATGATTTGAAGTTTATTGATAAGAATACTATTTTTATTTCTAAATCAACATTTGATCTATGGCTCAGTAAAACAAGAAAAAGATCGAAATATCGTATTAATATTATAAAAAGTAATAAAAAATATATATTTTGTATTTTAATTGAACACATTCAATTGTATGAGTTTTCTTTTACTTCGAATTCGAAAACCAAAATCTATCTATTTTGAGAGAAAGATATAAACACTCGGAAAGTATAACGTAAGTAGAAGTTATGAATGAGAATAAAAATCTTCTTATTTTATCATGTTAATGAAGATGATGGTTTTAGCTAAGCGACATGATGAACAAGGAAGTGAATGGTGCAGATGGTTGTTGGACAATTAGTTTCTTTCACTTTTCAGTAAATGATTTCAGTAAAGAGTAATATAGAGAAATAACAGTAGAAATCAATTAGTTTTGAGAATCGTATTGTTCAATGTATTGATGAAGAATTATCAATTGGTTTGTGTCCACTCTCATTACATTTGCAACAATTTTCTCTTTTACACATAAATCGAAAAGTAAAGTTATTGAAAAGCAGCTTAACCTAAAATTACATTTCACTATGATGATATACTAAAACGGTTTAGAAAAAAAAATCATATTTTTAATTTTGCAGCGAAATATTAAAGACGAAAATTAACAATTCAGTTTAATGTATTCTCTTTTTAGCAGTAACTCTTCCATTTTTTCTCGTGGGAAAAATTTATATTGCCTATAGTTTTTCAGTTATCATCGAAAAAATTCAAAAATAAACATCCATAAGTATTCGGAATATAAAAAGAGAATAACGATCGTATGAAAAGTTAATCGTCTGATCACTTGTTCCAAGACATTGTTTTTGATAAATAGATAGAACAATAATTCATGAAATAGTTTTGATCTTTCATTTTAAACAGTTTATATTCGAAATTAACATTTGATATTAATTTCGTTCACTTCAATAGTGAAAAATTCTTTAGAACAAGGAGAAACAGTTAACTTCACAAGATTCGAAGAGACTTTAGACATCAACATTCATTAGACTTCGAGATTCGAGTAACCTTCTATGTCTTTACGGATAGTAAATGTTGGAAAATACGTCATATCTATAACAATGAAGATGTAAACACAAGACAAAAAGGATATATATAGATTTTTTTTTGAGCAAATCGTTGCATTTGTATAATCTGATAAGAAAACTAAATTATAGATGATTATTCAATTGATTGTACTGGTAGAATGTAAGGTTAGATAGTGAAAATGGGAGCTAAAGTAAGTGTACGAGCTTATGTTTTGGAAATATAGTTTTTTTTTCTAGTTAGTTAAAATATTCTATTATCTGCAGAAAAGCAAGTGTAGATGTATGCTGAATCTCACAATCAATGGTCTTCTTAGTCTTTTTTCACTTTTTCACTAAGTTACTGTTGAGAATCCAAAGGAATGGTGTACATCTTCGCTTTTAAACATATTATCGATTCGATAAAATGGGTTGAAATAGAAAATTTGCAAGACAAATGTGAACGACTCCGATAATCTCATGGTCCTATTTACTACTATTCAACATTTCTGAGGTGGCAAGTTTTTAAAATTTGATTTTTTTTTCATTTGATTTCTTGTAGCAGAATAAAATCTTTCTGTCACAAAAAAGCAATTAATTGATAAATCATTATTTGTTGAAGATCAGATGAAAACCTTTAACTTTGTACGATTCATCGAATGTTAGATATTATATGCTTATCTTCCTATTCATATCACTTTTCATATTCACTTGATCTGGACTACTTAAATCTTATCATTTTGTATTTTCTCTGCTTTGCATATTGTAGAACATTCTTTACTTTTATTTTTGGCTATTATCAAATAGCAATCTACTTTACTTATTGGAATTAAATATTGTTAGGATTTATACTACTAAATATTTTACCTGAACAACTCTTCGTTATACATGTGGATACAAGAAATAAATAAATCTATGGATTCTACAAGGAGGAAAAAGCATATTTCTGTGCTTCCGAAATATACAGAAATAGAGTAATACCGAAAAGTATTGAGAAGTCTCAAGAAGCACAGTAGCATACTGAAAAATATCAAGGAATATACAGAAACCTGAAGTATTGTCTGTAAGATCGTTATAGTTATTATATAAAAGATAATTAAGAAAACAATTACAGAACTATCCAGACATATGGAGGAATATGATGAGGTTCGAAGAGGTACAGTGAAGTATAAAGAAGTTTGAAGCAATGTTTTATCCAGATTGTTTTTCTTCCAGTGAGGAAGTTCAAAATTTGGATGGGTGAACATCTAATTTCGAGAGGGTAAACACATAATATTTAGCACAATGATTCCAAATTTCAGGAGGACAAAACCAATCTCTTGAGAGATGTCGCTCTCTCACCCTCCATACTGTATAAAACACTGGTTTGTAGATGTATCAGAAAATACAAGAAGTACGAAATATGCTTTTTTCTCTTGCATATGAAGAAGTATAAAAACGTGTAACAAGTACGGAAGAGTATGGGAAAGTATAGAGAAGTACGAAGAAATATGAATAAGTACAGAAGTAGGTTTTTCTCCCTCAGGATTCTATTTCAATGAAATGATTTTTTCTTTGCTAATACTCACGGGAAAAACAAATGCTTTCCCTGTAAACTCCAAACGTGATTATTCGTCTATAGTTATTGAAACAAATTTTAACAGTATCAGTAATTAACAGTTTTTTTTATTGCAAAAGGAGCTTGATCGGTCAACCATTCGCATGGATAATTATTGACTTTCATAACTAATAAACCAAATGAAATACAAAGTTTTTTCTTTAGCATTAGTATTTTTTTTTCAGTAATCATCAGGTCATTCATGTATTCCCATAGTTATTATATCGATAAATGATTTTACTTATGTTGCACAAACTGCTAACTTTTCATTATAATAAAACGATAGATAATGTACACAATCAAGCAATAATCTCGTTATATCTGTGAACATAAATATAGAAAAAAACCAATATTATTCCAAAGTTACCTATATTCAGTCAGATAATGTATATCAATAAAGTTCATATAAAAATTGAATTATCACTTCATAATGAAAAATAAAAGTAATATGGCTCGAAATGGAAATACGTACATTATCTTATGACATTTCATCACTCAAAACCGCTCTTTGTACAGTAGTGACAGATCTAAAATTTTGGTAAACATGGCGAGAGACGATCATTATCAAAAAAGAATGTTTTATTTTTCAATTGTATTGTTTCACTCTTTTATTTCTGAATTGAATTAAGATTGATATGAAATACAGGAAGTACTAATATTTGTAAGAAGAAAAAGAAACGAAAAATGATACATTATTAATAATTTAAATAATGCAAAATGGAACACAAAACAAATGAGAGTACAATGGAAGATGCATAAAATTAATGAAGATTTGAGTTCAGAACAAAGACAAACAAAAAAAAACAACAACAGATCAATCACTGCTGATTTAAAAAAAGAAAGTTTATATGTAATTTTTTTTTAAAGCAAAGTATATTTTAACTTGCATGAACGAAAAAAAAAAAGAAAAACAAAATTTTCACTGCATTGTCTTTGGAAATAAAAAGATGAAACGAAAGACGACTTTGTAAATTGGTTTTTATATATGTATTCATTAGTATTGGCCATTATCTCCTACAATATGTATAATATTTATTTAAAATATTTAATATTTTAATTAAAAATTACCTCGTAACACAAGTGTAACAGGTCCTGGATGCATTTGTCCAGTTTGTAAATAGATTGATGGAGATAGGGGTGGTGTAGGATAGTAGAAAACTTGCATAGGATAATAAGTTGCATTCGGATGAAGTCCATTCATAGCAGCTGTTGTTATTGGAGTAGTAAGGGCCGAAGCAGATGAAGTTGAAGGTTGACATGCTGAAAGAGAAGTATTAGATACAGTTGTTGATTGAGATGGAGTAGCAAGAGAAATAGGCATTGTTGGTGGAAGCATTTGTGGTGGCATAGTAGAAATTGGTACGAGTGGTGCGGCTAAAAAAAATATTGACACAATGAATAACTTGTAATTCTAAATGTTTTTTGATCAAAAAAAACAAAAAAAATATCAACAATATTTACCTCGATGATGAGAAAACATTGGTTGACGTTGAACATTAGGTGGAATTAAATTTGATGGAACAAGACCAAGTAAAATATGATTCATATCTTCACCTGAACATTGAATTACTTCAATATATCTTTTTTTACCATTAAAAAATAAATATTTATTATTTTTATGTGCTGCTGCATTGAATGAAGCTGCTTCCGAATTCATTTGTATAAATGCTTCACCTGATGGTTGACCCTTTTTTGGAAAGAAAAAAAAAAGTTTATTTAAATTAGATTTTGTTTTATACATCTATGAATAAAAACATACATGTGCATTATAAACCATATGAACACCTTGTGCTACCTAGAAGAAATAAAACAATATTATCTGTGTTAAGAATAAGATTAAAACTTTCTTACAATATGTTGTGAATGAACTCCAAGAAATTCAAGTATTTGTTCAATACCACATTCTACAGGTAAATTTCGAACACGAATACAATCTTTTTTATTTCCACCGCTTAACATTTCTGGTGGTAACATAGGTAATGGTGCAAATGGTATATCTTTTAATGATGTTTGAAAATTTTTCGGATCTTGACTTCGACGAAATACCTATAGAAATAGAAATAGAAATAGAAATAGAAATAGAAATAGAAATATTAATTGAAAACAAAAACAAAAAAAAAAGAAAATTCAATTAACCTGTTGTACTTCAGCTGTTGTACTACGAAATAGTTCAATATATCGTGTACCCATAATATCTTTATGTTTAAGTAATGCTTGTGCTGCTTCATTTTCTGTTTTGAGCATAACAAAAGCATCACCTGTACTTCGTCCATCAGGATAATGAACAAATAGAACACCTTCTTCACCATCAACAACATGTGTTGGTATATCGCCACGAGTAAAAAATTCGATCTAAATATTGTAGTAAAACAAACAAGAAAAAAAGGAAATAGAACAAATCTTTTAATAAGTAAGACTGGATCCAATTTTGGTGTATCCACCCAATTCCAAAGAATAAACAAAAAAAATCAAGATATTTCTTTTGTTTCTATCAGCTATTTTATCATATCTACATATAAATCGTGCAAAATAAAATTTTTCTTTCAAAGAAGAAGACCCATTTTATTTCCAATTTATATTAAAAAAAATAAATAAATAAATAAACCTCATCAAGATAATTTGTCTTGCTTTTTTTTAAATGATTTGTTATATAAACCGTGACCGATAGGAACAAAAATATTGGAAGTAAATGAAACAAATCCAATACTACAATATTAGTGAAATCCATATTGCAATATATTTCTTTTCTTCTTTTTCTTCAATTATTATTATATATTTTCCTAGAGTGAAAACAAACAATGTCACTTTTCCCCAAAGGCGTTTCTTATGGCGTTAAATAGTTTCTTATTTATTATTAAATTGCACACACACATACACACATATTTATATGAACATCAACCATCCAATTCCCAAATTGTTGTGTTATTGGTTAAAGCAACTTACATACACACAGGCATATACATTACGCCCATAAATGCTCCCGTTTCCCGTCTGCGTAATAAGTCACACAAATCTGTTCCCTATCCCATAGAACAATTTATCCCAGTTTTTTTTTTTTATCACTTTGTCATTCACAATGTTTGGTGCTTGTTCAGTTGCTATACCCCTTCACACATACACACAAACATACGTATTGTAAGAAAAATTCGGTAGTATCATTTTACTACAACCTTCCCGCTGCCCGCAAGAGATTGAGAAAAAAAATGAGAAAGAACAATTGAATGATGGTAAGATTTCCCCGCGTGCATGTTTTACAATAGAACGCTTATGTTGATTTATTTCTGCAATACCTGTGTTTTCTATTTCATGATTGACTCGATTTATCTGCAATAGAAAGATACGTATTGTAAACTTAAACATTCGCACGGATATATATATATAAATAAAATATTCTAATTGTTAGCAAAATTTAAATATAAAAAATCATCATTCATTTTAAACAACATTTTATATACTACACCACTCAAGCATATATATATAGCTTTATATGAATCATAATACTTACCACATCTTTAGCAGTAGCATCAAATGGTAAACCACGCATACGAATAATAATTTGACCATCGCGTTGTAAAAACGCTTGAGCTTCTGAATTGGATCCTATTATGAAAAATAAAATAAATCAATATAAATATCCAATTAAAAACAAAAACAAAATATAAAACAATTATTTTCATTAATATGCTCACCGTATCTCTGCATATACTTGTCTTATTTTCTATTAGATAATTTTATTTCGAATTGAAATAGTCAATTGATGAAATTGTCTATCAAGAAAATGATTCTTCAATTTCGTTTTCGTCTCTTTGTAAGAAGTGGGGATTTAAAGATATTGATAGTATCAACACAAAAAAAAAACGAAATGAAATGAAATGAAAATGAAAATGAATGAGCGACAATAGGAGCAATGCTTAATACTTTTAAGTTTATTCTCTTTTTCTGTCGTATAGGTGCACCAACACAATTCTAATTGGAAACAGATACATGACTAGCACTAATAGAAAGACTTAGGCATAGTAAAAACAAAGACGAAATAAAATATTTTTAAAAGTTTAAAATACAAACTTTTAAGGTAGTTTAGATAATGATAATACAAGTTGCCATTGTAGGATACGCCTTTTGTATTACCCATTCGTGTATATATGTATATATATATATGAAAGATTTCACATTGAACAGTAGAGTATTTGCGTGTGTGTGAGTGTATATGTGAACAAAATAAAACCTTAGAGAATTTGTTGCGCGTGTTTGTGTGTGACGTGATTTCTTTTCTTCTTTTATTTGGTGCACAACATTTAAGAGAGAGAAAACGAGAAAGAGAGACACCTTACCGGCGTCAATTATTTACCACTACTTTCGATTAGAGAGAAAGAGAGAATGAATGATGAAGAAAGAACATCGGATCGAAGTAGTAAAGTATTTAACACGTCTGACAAGCATCAACATCAGTAGTAAGAACGATAAATTTTCGTTGTTGTCGTTCGTTGACAGACATATTAGTAGCTTGAACACACATACATAAAGACTGACAACTGTGCCTTCTCTCTCCTCTTCTTCTTCTTCTTCTTCTTCTTCTTCTTTTCGACAAAGAAATAAGAACAATAAAAAAAAAAGTGAGCCCACCTCATTGTTGGCCTCTCAATCTTTCTGTTGCTTGCCCTTCTATTTTTGATGATGATACGACAATGATGATGACGATAGCAAACGAATGTATATACATCGAAAAGATTTTTAATTATTTACCTTCGATGTAGATACGATGATCGACAACAGAATAAAAGAGATTAAGCTAGCCTTTATAGATCTTTCAATATTTTTCTTTGACAAAAAAACTCATCAATGTCGCTGTCTGATACATTTTTATGTTTACCGAGACATCAGACATATAGACATGGACATGAACTGAACGCAATTTAATAATGATGTATTCTACAGTCGTTCATTCGTTATTTGTCTCATCGTCTTTCTTTTGCCTTTCTCTGTCTATTTCTTTTATTTTCTCTTTAGCCTAGTCGTTATTATTCGCAAGTGAATCTTTCAAATCCTCAAGTAAATAGAGATGTTCGTCTTTTTTCTCTTTCTTTTTCTGTTTCTCTTTCTCTCGTTTCCTTTCTTATTTGCATAACCTACCAAGATCGAAATGTTGTCATTCGCTAATGATCAACGACCTTTTGTCAAATATAGTAAATTCGACAGCCCGGAAGCTCGAAATACAAAGAGAGAGAGAGAGTGAGAGTGAGAGTGAGAGCGCTGGCCATAAAATAAAGAATGAATTCTTCGCTTTTTGCATATATGCAGCAAAGTGACATATCAGATGATCAGTAGTTTAAGCCAACAACAACAAATAAATAATATTTGCTTTCACAAGAGGAAGCTCTTTTTTTTCTTTTAGTCGTTTTATTCTTTCTTTATTATATATGTGTGTATGTGTGACCTACTTGACTGACAGCATTTCAAAATGGTAGTGATACCTGAGAAATGAATTTTACATACTTTTGTAAAAAAAAGGAAAAAAAACATGGAGTCAAATATTTTGAAAGTGATTAAATATATGCATTAAGAACGAAAAAATTTAATGAGTATTTACCTCCAGCAATATTGAGAAAATCTCGCCCTGAAGCTTTATATACTTCAATATAACGTTGTCCAATATGATGTTTATGTCGACGAAGAGCTAATTCTCGATGTTCAGTTGATACAAAACGAACTAATGCTTCACCATTACGACGACCTTGACTACTAAGACATAATGCAACACCACCCCTACAATAATAAAAATGAAATTTCTTTTTTTTTTCATATGAATAAGACTTAAATTTAATGTTTTTCTGTTGTTGAATAAGAAAATTATTCTAGAGACAATTAAATTCAGGAATTATGTTATTTAAAAATTTACTAAAGTTAGAGAATGATTCACTATCTTATTGTGCTGGAATTCATATTTGATATTTCAACAATAATCACAAATTTCAAATAATTCAATGTATATTTAATGGCAAAGATTAATGAAAAAAAAAATGAATAAAATGAGAAAACTGCTTCTGTTCTTTTTTAAACTTAATCAGACTATATAGAAAAATTTTCACAGTGTCAGATGAAAAATCATTCGAACAAAGAAAAGATTTATAACTCAATTAGATCTTGAATAATTAAATGAAATTTTATTTCGTTGTAAATATAAAAAATTTGTGAGATGTGAATATTTCATAGACTTTTATGTATTTTTTATCGACTGGTATAGTGAAACAAATTTTATGTCATTTGTACAAATATAATAGTTACTAATTTTTGAAAATAATAAGGACATATAGAAAATCAACTAATGAAAAACGTTTTCGATAAGTGAAAGTTTTGTATATAATCTTATGTTTATTTCATATCACTAATCTATATGTAAAATACGATGGATTTATTTTTATTCAAACAATGAATAATATCATCTTCATTGAATATGTATTTTTTTTTATTGTATGTTTAATCGACTAGTATCTTTATGCTAATCAAAAAAAAAATATTCTGAATAGTTGCATTTTTTTTTAAAAATCCTTTACATAATTCTGTTAGTATTAATAAAATGAAAGATCATTTTTGTCAATAGGAGCAATTTAGTTAAACAAGTTGTCAATAAAAAGAAATAGTTTTTTTTTTTAAGTGCCAACTATTAAACTAACATTATATTGAATAAAATATTAAGTATATCTATAATACGAAAGTAAGGTTCCGGAAATGCAAAATTAAAGCAGATTTTTTTTTTCTTTTTTTTATATATGATTAGATAGAGCTTGATGAGCTGATCAAGAATATGTGTGTTTTAAATTTTTTGGAGTGAATTTTTAGTTAAAAATTCTCAGTTTTCTCCTATGACCTATTGTCTTCAAAAAAGAAAACAAAAAGTCAATTTTCGAGAATCAACCAATTTTCAATTATTTTTCATTTGTTTCAAATTCTAAAACTGTTTGTTTCGGATTCAGCATGAAAAACTGAATCTAAGAAAATCATTTTAAAATGATTTTCTTAGATTCAGTTTTTCATGCTGAATACGAAACAAACAGTTTTAGAATTTGAAACAAATGAAAAATAATTGAAAACTGGTTGATTCTCGAAAATTGCCTTTTTGTTTTCTTTTTTGAAGACAATAGGTTATAGGAGAAAACTGAGAATTTTTAACTAAAAATTCACTCCAAAAAATTTAAAACACACATATTCTTGATCAGCTCATCAAGCTCTATCTAATCATATATAAAAAAAAAGAAAAAAAAAATCTGCTTTAATTTTGCATTTCCGGAACCTTATTAATTAATCGATAGTTTTCAAAAAATTATTAATTACTTCATAATAAATAATTATCATTTAATAATCAATATTACTCACTTTTCTATATCAAGACCTCGAAAAAATTTGGCTACATCTTGATCAGTACATTGCCATGGTAAACCACGTGCTCGAACGACTGTACTTTCTTCAATATTATCTTCTAATGAACTAAATTAGAATAAATATAAATATAAATATATAACAGATATTACATAATTTTCGATCTGATTTTGATGTTTTTCTTTTGTATATTTGCCATATCGAAAGACGAACAGATATTGAAGACACGTATTTAACAGAGATCGGATCGTTTCATGTTTTTTTGGAACCGAATCGAAGCTGATTCTATCTTTGATATTTAAAGTGTAGTGTCTAACGAGAGAACCTCACTAACTGACACCTTTCGTTCGAGTTCATAATTAGGACTCTTAGTATTGATAAAAAGCTCTGAAAGGATTCTTATTCTCAAGTTATGATCATTTTACTGAATTTCCAGCCTCTCACAAGATATTATGAGCAAAGCCAAATTACCCACACCTTCAATCTGAAACTTCGCCCAAAAATAGGTCTTATGACTCTTATAATATCCTGAAAATTTCAGTTAAAATTGATGGTTTCTTCCCGAGATTTTGAATGTGCCAAACAAATCGAATTTTCTCGAATTTTTTGTAAGAAAATAGATTTTTTTCACACTTATTATCTCGGTATTAGAGTATCCGTTTTGGTTGAAACTTTCAGGATATTATAAGAGTCATAAAATCTATTTTTGGAACAAAATTTTAGATTGAAATTCTTCAATTTGGTTTTGCTTGTAATGCCCTGCGATAGGCTTTGAATCCAGTAAAATGATAATAAGTCGAAAAGAAAAGCCAAAAAGAAAGAATCGCTTTAGAGTTTTTATCTACATTAGTAATCCTAATTATGAGCAAAATATGAACTTAAACAAAAGACATCAGTTCGTCAGAGTTCCTCGTAAGTTATCATTCAAAAGAAATTACATTCAATGTTTCTTAATAGTAGAAGAGTGCGTTATTGAAAAAAAAAATTATAATAAAATTATCAAATTTATTTTTGACTCAACTTTTTTAATAGGACTAACAAAAATAGTAGTCATTAACTCAATAAGAGTCAATTTTAGCTTTTTTTTTTGTTATATTTAACTTCAATGCTACCAAGATCTGATGAACATTTTTTTTTACAAGTGTAAGATAAAAATATATTAAAAACAAAAAAGAGAAATTGAAAATAATTTTTGAATATGTTTTCTAATATAACATTTTCTATTATTAAAGAAAATTGAATATAATTTTTTTAGGATGATAGTTGAGATGTTATTCTTTAAATATATATATATGCTCAATGTCTATCAGTCTTTCAATATTGCATAAAATCAAAAAGCAGATCAACATTTCTGAAACACTCTGTATCAAAACCCGAAATGTATATTTTACCATATGCCTTGCTGTAAGTTAACCATGATCTGTTCAGGTTTCTCGAAACGATGACCTATGAATAATTAGAAATATTAAATTATAAAACATATTTTCTTCGAAAAAACTTACCATCATTCAACATTTGATAAACAATTAATTCCATATGTTTAAGATGTCGCATACAATAGTCAATTTCATTTATTGGAGAAATTGACAAATCTGAATGAAACAAAAAAAAAAATTGCAGTATTAGAAATAAATCAATATCAAATTTCATAATGTGTTTAATATAAGCTTTGACTGTTTTGAAAATCAATCATCAGAGTCAATATTCTTTTTTTTCTTCCCACAAATGATTATAAAAAGAAATAATTAGACAATTACTTTCAAGCATAGCATTTAAATTGTAACGTTCAGTCGTTTTATACATATGTTGAAATTCATGTCTTAAATCAAAATAAGACCAATAATAACTTGATAATGATATTATTGATTTTTTAACACTTTCTGGATGAAGACATTGACGTAATTGAAGACAATTCTCACAAACAAATGTTAAATTAACACCAAAGTCTGGATGTAAATAACGATCACGCAAGAATGTATCAAACTACAATGCAAAAAATTTTAATAGTCGAAATAAATTGATATCATTTTTAAAAAATTTTACTTTTTTCAATGCTTCATTAAGATCAAGTTCTGATAAAAATAATAATGTTTCATCAATTCCACTTGCTTGTTTACATTCATCATTCAAATTTTCTATAAATGATGGTCGTATATATTGACGATATAAAGTCACCATCTATGTTTAAAAAAAGGAATCATATCAAATTTCAATAGTTTTGTCAAAAATAATACTTCAGAAGAACACACCTTTCTTTGATCTGTATCAATAATAAGATAAATCATTTCAATAATTTCCTGTTCATCGGAACCCATATCTTCGTCTAATAATCCAGCCGTAATAAGTGAAAATAAACATAAATATTGTTTATTATTATCAGTATTTGTTTCGACATTCGCTATCGGTACCACGGCAGTTGTCAACGGCGGTAAAGACGATGAAGACGTCATTGCAGACAACAACGTGGTCGGCGAATGCGTGCGAACCCGTTTACAATTCAGGTTTAATAGCGTCGTAATAGTCAGTTTCGAAGGCGAAAAAGAAATAAAAGATATGACGATAAAAGAAGGGGGGACAATATTAATGAAAAATTGAATAAAAAAGAAAAATCAAGAGAATAACAAATGGTATTAATGGGAACAGAAATAAGTAAAAAAAAATCAATTGAAATGGAAGACTAATATACACACAACTGTGACACAATACAAAAAAAAAAATAAATCGATGAATATGAAATATTAATGGCGATCTGCTGTTTTTTTTCTTTTTTCTATTGCTTTGTTATATTTCACATTTGAATCCTAGAACGACAATCGAATTTGATTGATAGTTAAAAAAAAAATACCTTTCTTCCTCTCGATTTCTTTCTCTTATGAAAAAAGACCATCTGTTACCTTTGGGTCATCGTTAGTGTTCAAGTTTTTTTAAACTCTTCCACTGTCTGAACGTCTCTTTTTTGCGCAATCAACCGAACTTCAATCATACTCTCTCGTACGGTTTGATTTCTTTTTTTTTTTTTGCTTGCTCTTAATTTCATCTTATGATGTCCTCTATTGTTTAGAGTGGGTCTATGTAGCATGCAGTAGTATGCGACAGCTGTTCATGCTAGGAAATTATTCACATTAGCGACAGACGCGAACATGCACAAGCACTCCCTTCATTGAAATTGATAAACTATCATAAAAAAAAAAGAAGGAGACCGATATAAAATCAAACATGTACGTATTTCACTGCTAAAAATAAATTCCTATTTTTTAACTGACTTGTTCATTCTATGTACAATTGTAATGATTCATAACTTGAAAAATAAAATCCACCTGTAGTCAAACGGCAATAGTTGATCATCACTCTATTGAAGAAGAAACGAAAAAATTGTCCGTGAGAGAAAGATGCACTACAACGTCGGTAACGAACGTTATGCTTCATCGATTTTTTGTCTCTTTCTCGTATAGACGTATAAGAGAAAACGTGCATGTACGAAGTCACACTATGGCCTTTCGTCAATAACGTTATATTATTGAATGACCGATCTAATGGAGATCAACTTGCTATCGCTACAATTGAATAGAACAACGAAATAAAAATAATAATGAAGAATTTTTTGTTGAGAATTTGTTGTATGTTGAAGGTAGTTTTAAATTATCAACTAAACATGTAAGAAACATTCTTGAAAACATGTGTTCGATTTGTTCTGAATAAAAATGACAGAAATGATTCATTTGTTTCTATTTCAACGTGTTATTCACTACACCTATTTTTGTATATTGAATTTTCTTTATTATTTTGGACGTATAACATAAGAGAATCAATAAAACTTATCAACAATACTCGCAAAACATCTTTCATTCAGTTCAGATATTGAATAATAACTATATAAAACATATCTTTTGTTGATTTTTTCTTATTATAATGCAAAATAAGTTTTTTTTTTTCATTAATCACATGTTTTCTGAAAACTTCCTATTCTTTTCTTCGAGTTCACGTACTAAATGTATATTTGTAAAAAAGAATGATTTTATATTGGATGCAGTTTTGAAATGTTGTGAAAGATTTCGCATTTATTTTCTGTATTTCAACATACTAAAAGCAGTTGATCCTATCAAACATTGAAACAGATGAAAAACATTTTTTATAAATTCTAATCAAGTTTTCATTCTATACAGTTAGTGAATGATAGAGAAAATGTGAACTTTTCTGTTGAATTTACATCGAAAAGAAAAATAAAACACATTTAATAATAGTTTTTTTCATGCTATATTTTGCTTATTTCAAAACAATAACTATATAAATGTAAACTGTTAAGCAGCACCCGGGAAAGTGGGGGAGGGGAGGGTGGAGGTGTACACCCCCCCAATAATTGAAAATTATTTATTATTAGCCAGCAAAGCGGATGAATTTTTTTGAACTTTTAAAGTATCCTCGCTGTTAGAGGTTTTTCGGACATCTCCCAAAAGGATTCTGAGTAGAGAGGGGAGTCAGGGGATGACCTTTCTCGAATAATTGTAAACTATAGTTGGGATATCGGTGAAAAACATGAAGTTCTATGGCAAGTTGAAGAAATCAGATGGTTTTTTTCCCTCGAGACCCAGCGTAAAACGATGGTTTTCCTAGAAAATTCTGAGATGTTAAAATTTGTCGCTTCGCGAAGAAATAACCATATGAGTGTATTCAGCTAAAAGATGTCTATGATTTTTCTATTTTTATGACAATCTTACGGTTTTCTACCTTGTGAGCAGCTTCATTTTCAAGCAATCATCACTAGGTGGCCGTCTTCGGCGGCAAAATTGTTACGACTTATCGCAACACTCTTTCCTTTCGAAAAAAATAAGCAAAAGACGAGTTTTTCATAAGTCTGAGCAAAGTTTTCGCTTCGCGAAAAATAACAATTGCGTAACCACAGTTAACTTAGAAAAACTTTTAACTTTAGTCGATTTTCTTTTTGAAAGACCTAATCGAGAACAATCGTCACCAGCGTGGCCGCCTTCGTCGGCCGAATTGTTGAAAAATTTTCTTACATTGGACATGATTTGTCTTCTTAAAAATTTGCCCGAGATAGTCGAGTTTTTTAAAAAGGTTGCAAAAAGTTTTCGCTTTGCGAGAAATTGTTACATTTTAGGTTGCAAGAGAAACATTAATATCAAATCTAATGCGAAAAAAAATCAGGTGCGTAGTCAGAAGTTTTCTAAGAGGAGGAACCAGGGTTCCAAGGGGGACCATCATGGTAAATAAAAAATTTTCGCGTCGCGAAAATTTAACTCTGTACCCCCAGGAAATTTTTCTTGGAAGGGGACCGATCCTCTTTCCCCTTGGCTACGCCACTGAAAAAAAATTTTGCTTCGCTCAAGCTTAGCTGCCTCAGGACCCATTACACTCCCCCCAATCCTGGAACCTTCGCGCGGGGCCTGCTGTTAAGTCTACTTCCAGATATTATTATTAATTTATTCTGAATGATAATATTCAATCATGAGGAAGCACAATCAATTAATTAAATGAAAATAGTGATGGTAGTGTTTACTATCAAATTAATAATATTTATTTTAATTTTCAGTTATTATGAACACTATATGTCTCGATTTTATATTTTATAGATCGAATAAATCCATTGCGTGACAAAATAGTATGATATTTTATTGATTAAAATGGATAAACATAGCTAATTATTACTATTCTGACATGCAATGACCGATAAAAAAAAAAGTAGAGTTTTAATTTTAATCAAAATACAAACTAAAAATATTGATTCAAATTTAAATATATTTACAAAATATAATAAACGATTATTTCAAAATATTTCAATTAAGATCAAGATAAATTATTCGATAATACTTATATTTTTAATAATACAATTATGAAATGTTCTTACTTTCAAAAATTACTCGTATAAGAAGTGAAGGAATACTATTTTATGATTTAGGATTTTCCCTATATTTATTCAATATATAAAAGTTCAGATATTTGTTTTCAATATAATCTAATGAATAGCATATCAAAGAAACATTTCTAGTACCTAGTTTAAAAACTTATATCGTTAATCAGATTTCTGATATGATTTTAAGAACATTTTTTAAATTAAAATTTGTCATCAAAGTAATCAGAAATGTCATTTATTCTTTTACATATACAAACCAATATAGTATTTGTAATGATTATCAGTCGCATGTTATTCATTACATAAAATCCCAACATCCAAAAATAAATTGGATTTTTCTTGATTAAGGGCACTTTTTCCTTTTTTTTTTTTGACTATTTCTAGTTCTCGAAGATGGTACAACTGATCAAGCTAGAATTTTTACCACGAATACAGCACCAAAAATAAAGAGATACATATTCGAGGAAACAAATTTTGAAGTAGGTTTTTGCAGTTTCTTCTGGGAAACCTTGATTTCCCATAGAGCTACATCCTAGTTGCTTACGACTTTCTGTTGAACTTTGTTCAATCTGACTGAAACTTTTACTACTGATACTTGAACGAATTCTCTAGAGGTCTAATTGACTGTTTTCGTTTGTGGGTTTCCTATTCAGATTTACAGGACTCTGAAAGGCAGGACCTCGGTTTTGGCACAAAGCTTTTACGTGCTTTCATCACAAAAAAAAAGAAAATGAGTTTTTTGGAAAAGCTTAAAATTATTTCCAAAAAAACTAACAAAGTTTGATATGAGTCGTCATGAACTAGGATGCGGCCCTATGGAAACCAGAGTTCTTCAGAAAAAAAAACGCAAAAAATCCACTTCAAAATTTTTTTCCTCGAACATGTCTCTGTTTTTTTGGTGCTCTATCGGTGATAAAAATTCCAGCTTGATTGATTGTATCGTCTTTAAGAACCAGAAATGGTCAAAAAGAGACGGAGTACTCTTAATAGTACGGACGAACAAGAATAAAATTTTTCAGAATACATGATGATAGATCAATAAACTATTAGTTTTTCACATTGTCTGCCAATTGTTCCTACTAATATTGTACTTGGTACTGAAACAGAAATCATAAAATAACTATTTTTGTCAGCAACAGTACTAAAATATTGATCTTTATATTCTGATATGACTTTATTCAATATAAAAATCTGTATATAGAAAACGTAGAGATAACGACGACCAACATGAGAAAAAATATAAATATAATAAAGATGTAATTGTCTTGTTTGTATTTATTACTTATATATGTAGATAACCAACGTTAAGACTTTACTTTTTAATGATTTCGAAATAAATATTTTGAGTGTTTCTAGTGGTACCAATTGAACAATTCACAAGACTATAATTTAATATTGATTTTAGTCTTTTCTATGTGCTTAGGATTTTTTTTTCTAGCAATAATATGACTTTTCGTATCTTTAGTTATTTCAACAGAGAACTGATAAATTTTATTAGAATAATAGATAGGTAAGAAATTCATTCATCAAATAGAATGGACAAATATGATTGTCTAAAAATTATTAATAATACTATAGAGA